CTGTTCGAATAAAGTTTTAATGTACACTTGCTGCAAGTGATAACAGTTCACTGAAGACTGTGCAGACTGTCTGTAGCAGGAGTCAAAAAGACAGGAGAATATGCAATTCAGTTGAATAGGCCTTTGCAAAAACTTCCACCAAAGACTTTCCCAATAATATCATCCTCATGTAGTACCAGGCAATGTCAAATTCTTATGTATAAACTATATGAAATAAATTTAATCTGCAGAGAGGCAGTTTGCTGTGACACTGAGTTTGTACAAGTATAACTAGACATGGAAGTGTTTCTATGTATTGTGAATTATGCTTTTATAGTGGAATATTGAAATAATATGCATCTACTTAAACCACTAGAAAAATTAAGATATAATACTGACAGGAACATCTCTTTCCCTAATATTAGCACATTATCTATGTCAGCACATCAAAGAGAAAAACACACCTCTCACACTATTAATGCCCAATTAATTTGTGAAGACATAAAAAGGGCTTTAGGCTCTTTCCCATCTGTAAAGTATTATTCTGGAGATCAGAGATCAACAGTATTAAAAGTTTTAAATTTTCCACCCACATCTGAAATTCCAACTGTTTCAAAGGTAGCCTTCAGAAGCTTTATTAATTCTCTTACTACTTTTAGAAGTCTTCTGACAAGTGTGGAAGAGTATCTGTTTAGGAGATGGGAAGCAGAATTTAAAAGCTACTTGATATTGAGCCAAAGTCCCAAGCAGTTGGGTGGTTTGAATCAATCAATCCCAACTGTAGAAATGCTCAGTTCATATCAAATGAATCATACAGATATTCACATCTTTTTATTTTATACTCAGCACACCAGCACAGATTCTTCCTCAAGTCTTAATGTCAAGAACTGCCAGTGCTTTATTTAAGATGAGCCTTATGTACTATTGTGATATTAAATTGCTTGCAAACACAGAGTCCTTACGCTGGTCATACTTTATAATGTTACCTTAGGGAACTAGAACTGTTTCCACACATACTGTTTTCAAAATGCAAAGAGGAAACCCAAACAACCAGCAGAAGTTATTCTAAGGCACCAACAGATCTCGGCACCACCACTCACGGAGTAACATTTCAAAGAGGAGTTTTTAATTACACAGCAGTGCTAAGTCACAGCCATCATGCGTAGGACATGTGCTGATGCTGGGCACGACAACATCAGTTCAGCCCGGCTGCAATCAACAAAAAAATCACTGTAGTTGTGCAATCTTATGACAAGCATATGGCCAGAATAATAGCACTCACTCTGCAACTACTACTCAGTTCCTATTAGAGGATTATAACTCGTTATTCATGAGCATTAATGCCATCTAGACACAGTTTTTAAATCTCTCTCAGGAAGTGTTAAAAATGCTAAGAACGTTGCCGTGGTAGCAGACATATTATATTTAGTAGATGAATTCTGAAGTATTCCATTGCATTAGTTAAGCATTCCACTATATTTATAATACTCAAACGATTTTGTTTTTGTAGAAAACCATCAGCATCCAGACTACAAATGACAACAGGGGAACAAAGAGCTCAGATTCTATTGAGGATCCTTCAGGAAGCTGTAAGTCTGAGTGCTGACACAGTTAATGTGTTGTTATGAGTACCTCTTCTGAAAGTGAAAGGCAGAGCTTTCATAACAGTATGAAGTTTTTAATTCTTTTGCCTGAGCTCCAGAGTTACATATGCTAAAAAAAATCTTGTGAATTGCAAGGTACACGTTATATACAAATGAATAAAAATACAGTCCTAACTCACATTTATAAAATACCTGCTTTTGTTCCTTAAACAGTAACAGTACAACGTATTTTGTTCAGAATGATTTTATTTGGATTATAGCAATTAGTATCACTGATCAGTAGGCCAAGTCCAGGCAGAGAGCACAGAATCAGTTTCACAAGGCAACAACACAGACTAGTATTTTAGCATACCAACCATTTCACTGCATTATCAAGTTGAAATATCTTTCAACCATGCATAAAAAGTCTATGCTTCATCTTTCAGAGCTCCAGGTAATATCAGATTCCTAAATATACAAAAAATACATTTAACTTATAATAATCTTAGTGAATCAGACTTATAAAATTACAATTTTATTCTTCACAACATAGAAAAAAATACAAAAATGACTGTATATAGTTTTCACCCAAATTTCACTGACATATACATCAAAATGCATGATTTGATGTATACTCATGAAAATTTTAAGCTGAAAAAGGTTTTCAAATGACACTGCAGATTGGTCCACACAAATGTCAACCTTCATTATGATAACAAAAAACCCCGCCTTTAATAGAAACATCACATTGTGAAAAATTACAATTTATCTGCACTGTAACCTGCATCTTACTGTAATTTACAATATGAACATTTCTACAATTCCAGTTGTAAACTATACACTGGTAAGAGCCTTGGTCTTTTAGAGGGTAGTGACTAACTCAGACAAAGCCAGCAGGGTAGAACATAAAGTGCTGTCAACTGAACCAGTGCACACAACAGAGACACCAAAGCAGAGAACGCCTGCTGGTTTGGATATGCTGATAGAGAACATGCAAGCTAAGTAAATAGTCTGTGGGGAAAATAAAACCCTCTACATTCGTGACAAACAGTACCAATCAAAGCTTCTGTTATAGAGTTCACACAAATCACATTACCGCCTCAGTGACAGATGAGGGGAAATTTCTTATTTTATGAGGAAAAACCCCACATGTGTGACCAAAGTCAATAGGAACAACCCAAAGAGGATTAGGGCATCACACTACAGTTCTCACTCAAGATCACCTTCCAGTGATTTCCATGGAAGATAAACTTGAAAAAGCACTGCAAGATGAAGTGCTGAATTTTTGTACATACTAACTGCATGTTCATACTGCAGAATATAACTTATAAATCAACTCTGCTGATAAAATTTCTTACTAGCAAAGCAATTTCTTTTAAAAGTCTGCAGTTTATTTGCATTTGTGTGGTAAATTAATATTTTCAATTAAAGTAAATATTCTGTGATAAAGCTTATTCAGTAAAGGTGTTGGTTGTACAGATTTCCTCCCTACCGGCAGCACGCTCTGCTTTCCCATGGTGCCAGTGCTATCTGATTGTACTGTACACAGATCTGGACTATATCTTTCTCATCAGCAGAGCCAGCAGTTTGTTTCATATTGGAGTATTACACAGCCATTTTTTTTCCTCCAAATTGGACCAACAAATTTGAAACCAAATCTTTTATTTGGGCCCAGAAATCAAATTAAGAAAGTTCAGGAGCTGAGCATCAACAATATCCAATAACCTAAGTACATCAGGAAATCAGATCTTTTAGATGGCATCCTTCAGAAATACTGACATCACTTTCTTTAACAGCAAGTATAAGCAAAAGATGTTTTGTTCGGAGGTGGAAATTTACACTTTCAAACAGTTCAGTACAATGTAACATTTCTCAGAGGACTACAACAAAGCACATAACCTAATGCAGAAATTAACTGAACTGTTGCATCTTCGAATCCAAAAACCAGTCTGAGGCTGTATATGGCCACAGTAATAGAATCTCAGAATTGTTTAGGTTGGAAAAGACCTCCAAGGTCATCAAGTCCAACCTAACACTGCAAAGTCCCACTAAACCATGTTCTTAAGCACCACATCTACACTTCTTTTAAATACCTCCAGGGATGGTGACTCCACCCCTTCCCTGGACAGCTTGTTCCAGTGCTTGACAACCCTTCTGATGAAGAAATTTTTCCTAATATCCAATCTAAACCTTCCCTGGTGCAACATGAGGCACTTTTCTTTTGTCCTATCACTTGTAACTTGGGAGAAAAGAGCAACACTCACCTTGGTACAGCCTCTTGTGTTTTTGAATAGTCAGTAATAGGCTCCAAAGTGTTTAAAATAGAAGCAAAGATTATTATTGTTTCTTACCCTCTCTCTGCTCATTATAGCCCTGTTTGTGTCTAAACAGGAAATGTGCTATATACTGAGAATTAGGAAAATTCAGACCTTTTGATGGAATCAAAGAAAATTACTGAAAAATGCAAAGTTTTTAAAAAAAAATAGCTCTGACAAGCATAAACCTAAATAATTGTAAATTCAGCTCTTCCCAAGTGCTAGAAAAGAAAGCCTGTGCCCTCAGTACTTACTGGCTGTGTTTGGGGAGAGCTGGGATGTGTTGAGCACGTCCAGGGGGAGGTGCTGGCAGGCACAGCACGAGCCCAGTACCGCAGGTAGCATGGTACAGGTCACACCTCATTTATGCACCAAATCATAATGTTATAAGAGGGAAGCCAGAGAAGCCCACGTGGTGGTGTCTAGTGACCCTGACTGGGTTCACACAACACTATTGGGCTATCAATTCCTAACAGAGCAAAGGCCATAACCTACATTTCCTTTTGCCTTTGCTTGGGTATCTGTTCATTTCCCTGCTCCCTTTGCCCCTTCCATTCCCTACCCTTTTGGCCCCGTCAAAAGTTTCTTAATAACCTGGGGCACTGCTCACACAGCATTAGTGCTTTCTGCCTCACTACAAGGCTTTCTTGTTCTCTGTTTTATCTTCCCAAGGGAAAGCTAAGCCAGAGAACCCAGAGGAAGCACCGAGGAAAATATAACTTTGTGTTCTTCCACTCTTCCAAGAGAACAGATGACGAAAGGCTTGTCCAGTCTGCAAAAGCAGCATGTAACACATGAGATAATCTGTTTTCAAAAGAGCAGCTTATGACTTTGCAACACTTCAGAAGTTGAGTGCCTGGAACTGCCTGCTTGAATGTGCCACAGTGATACACACCAGTCACTTAAAGTTAGGCTGAGAAACAAGGCCCCCAGATAATTCCACAGCAGACCAAACAGTCCTCCACACTGATTAAAGATGATAATTTAAGTAAAAAAGGAGAACTGCACACATTTCTGGTGACTTGCCTCCTTATCTTGTTTAGATTCATTACCGGTATCACTAGAAATATTATAGTTAGTATTAATTTTAATTTTTTTTAATATGTAAAAAAGTATCCAGGGATGCAGTAATTAAAAGGAGTTTTAATGTTTCAGATAAGCATTACAGCCTCTGAATTAACATTTGCATTTGTGTACTCAGCTTAAACAAGATCTTCAGAGAACACACTCTGGTCAGACACTGTACTGTTTAAATTCCTAAAGAACTACATTCCCCTCATTTCCCGTAATTGGTTTCTTGTTCTTGTTCCCGTCACCTTTTAAATACACAACCTACCTTTCTAAATTCAAACACTTTGGCCAGATTACATTCTCCACTGAAGTCTCTGACATTATCCTGAAATATTCCAGAGCATATTGTTTGCTTTCACAGCAATACATACAGTTTCTGGCATGCAGTCAAGCACTTAAAAAAAAGAGGTATTGGTAATATAATCCCAATTCAGGCATTTAGTGGGTACAACTTCATCACTCATACTGCAACCTTCAGGCATTTAATAATAAATGAAAATCATTTAGCACATCATTTAAGGAAAATGTTAACTGCCAAGCCATATAAAGTTTAAAAGTTTTCTGAAGCACTGTAAGCTGAAAATATTTCAATGTTTTACACTTGGGATTTCAGTGGAATCAGATTTATTGGTTATTCTTGCTAAATTATTGGTCTTTTACCTCTGACTTATCTTGGTATATTCTTTACAAATGTGCTGGGTATTGAAAAACTGCAGCATTTTGATGTTTGAAAAGTTCTGAAAAAGTGTTGGAATTACTCCGACTTCCTATGTTCTTCAGTGTGGGAGAGTACCTTTCGCCTCTGGTGTAGCATATGAAAATACAGCTGAGGAAAGACTGAAGAGAAAACAGATTCAAGTCAATAAAGTTTGAAGCGAGGTTTGCAAGTCAATGTGAGATGCAGATTCACACAGCCAAGGTCACTAGTTCTCCATTAAAAGAGAACATGCTTATCCACTTTTTGCTCAAGTTATCTATTGCCTTTTACACTTTAAAGAAGTGGTATGATTCTTAGGCTTCAGGTATTATCTATTTTTTGCTAAAGCAATCACATTTTTAATGAAATGCAAAATGCCATATTTAACTCTGCCTGTACAAGTAGATGACACCCACACAACAGAAAGAAAAATGATTGCAGGGAGGAAAAAGCCCTTCCAAAAGAATGAAATTTCCAGATTTGTTTCCCTTCTTGCAATTCTAGTGTTGCTTTTTCAGAATATATGTCATTTTATATGAACTGGTGCCTCTTTTCTCTCTCTATCCTCCACACAAAGCCTTTTCTCCTCTTGTTTCTAAGATTATGTTACACAGTCTGTTTGCAGAACAACAAAGTAGGGGATGGAACATAAACAGCAAAAGCTAAAATTTCCACGAGGCATTCAACCTTTGTGAACCATACAAAAATTAAACAAGGTCATCAACAGCCTAAATCAGTTATATGTATGTTAATCCCACAATTATTAGCTTTTCCATTACAGCTAGTAATACTAAAAAAGCTAACAAATTCATACTTACTTGGAATGTAAGAGATCATAACCAGGATCAAGAATGTATAGTAGTCAAAAGAGAAATTGTACTTGTTAGGTAAACTAATGGAATACAAGCCAGACTGCCTGACGAAGGGTAATGCAGCATATATTGTGAGTAATTCGCCTGAGACTCCCATTGGATACAATACTATAAACAAAGTGTACCTAGAATAAAACATTTACAGAAAGAATTAAAAGTTACAACAAACTCTGACAAAGTATTTGTTAAATGATATTGTGGATATTCAAATTTTAAATTCTCAACTCAGTATTTATTTTCCTTAGTTCTTATTTGATTAGAGCATGGCAAGGTGTGAACGTTATTTCAAGCTACGTGTCCAAATCAGCAAATAGTGTGAAATATATAAAGATTACCTTTGAGAATCTAAATACTATCTGTAAAACTATTCTCCTCCCCCCCCCCCCCCCCCAAATTTACTACTTTCATTTGGTGGAATGTCATTATACTACTCTTTGGTGGAGGTCATTATACTACTTAAAAGGGTGCCAAATATAGTTGATGTTAATCAATGAGCTTAAAGATTATTTCAAGTATAACCCTTGGATTCAACAGTTATGGTTAAATGTCAGTTTACTTACTGTCACTCCTTACTGTTAAATATCCGTTTCCTTACTGTCACCCCTTACTGTTAAATATCAGTTTCTACTCTTTCAGCTTACAATGAAATAGATCTTTTTTAACTCCAAAATGTGCTAGAAAGAAGCTGGGAACTCACATTCACAAACAGGGCAATTACCTCAAGGCAAAATCTAATTTTTTGTACTGCACCTATTTTACAGGATAAATATCTCTGTCAAATCAGTGCTTTAAGGCTGTGATTTCTATTGTGCTACCAACCTGGCCCATTTGATGAGATAAGGGAGATGGTTTAACAAGCTAAATGTGTAAAAAGAGTAGCGGATAATCTCAGTGATTGTCCAGGCCACTACAAACAAGAGGACACTGTCTTCAGTTTGTACCTGTGAGAAAGAAAAGAAAGCTCAGTACCAATTCAAGCATTACCAGTTACTCACCAGACCCAAGAAAACCTCACAGAAATCAATTCCCGTGGGTTGCTTTACTGCATCATTTTAGAGAACAGACTCCAAGAATGAGCTTAAAAGCAAAATTAGTAACAACAGTAAAAAAACCTTCTTAACACGCTCTGTATTTTTCTACTTGCTTAAGAACAGCTCTGCTTCATGATCAGGTAACTTAAGATCTCACATTCTGAGCAAGGTAAATTGGTACAAGAAATCCTGAAAATACTGAGTATAATTCAGAACTCTTCCCATTCATGAACAGTACCAACTCCTATTTCAGTCCTATGATTCTTTCCTAGTGCAGCAAGCAGAAATGATGATTACTCTTACACTTGATATCTGATTTACACTTTCTATTCTGCTCCTGTTCATGCTACTTCTGAGTAGAAACCCTGTTTTCCTATCTCTACAGGTGAGAAACTGGGCCCTACTTTTAAGCAGCACCAAAAGAGCTAACACCAGATTCAAGGCTGGCAGGAGAGATGAAACAGCAGCTCAAATTGTCTCACCTCAGGTAAGCTTGACAACTACGTGATTCACTCTTCCTTGCTCCATTTTCTGCCTATTCTATCTAGCATAGTTCCTCTAATGTTACACTCAAGGCACTGCATCATGTTTCACTGCTTTACACCTCCTGGAGCTTTTGTCACTTACACATCACTGAACCAGCTTTGATTCTCCCCATATTTTGAAGGTTAATCTTCAGAAGCATGTGTTTTAAAATGAATTGTTATATTTATTAGATTTTGGATCATCATTATGAGGTTCAAGTTTCAGATGGAGTAACAGTGATTAAGTGGTGGATATGGGGTCACACGCCTGGCACTACAAATTCTTGAGAGAACAGACGTGATTTTTATGCAGTCTTTCCCCTCTCCCTCAAGCCTCCAACAGATTTCCCAGCTGTACAAGTACCCTGAGCCCCAAGAAAAAGAGCTCAACCGTGGGAACAAAAAGAGCTCAACAACAGGGCCTACATTTTCTCTTTTCCTCCAACTCTTGAAAAAAGGGAAAAGGAAGTCTGTAGGTGTGGGTGGTGCACTCTATTCATCTTGAGCAAAGTACATGTACCAGCAAAAAAAAAAAAAAAAGGAACAAAAATAATAGTAGGGGACTGATCATATATTTTTGTATGAAAACAGTCATGAGGATTACCCAGAAAAAGCTTTGTTACAGACTGCAAAACCCAGGAAAATTTGTACATAAATCTTGAGCTATCCTGGAATGTAGGGCTGCTGTTATTCTGTGTTCTGCTGCACATAACGCTTCAGGTCACTCCTACTGCACTTTGCAGCAAACGCACCTTGTTCATTTTACACATGAAACTCTGAAAATTTATTTATATATTAATCTACCTTGCATCATCATAAAAGAGCAAAATCCAAAAATTATTTGAAGATTTTCAGACAGGACTCCAAATCTATTTTTCCATTGCTACAGAATCCTAATCCTATTTGAAGTCTGCTTTATAAGCAAGACTTAGTTCTTAACAGGGAAAAGCTAACAACACTTCATAGATGATGCTGTTCCAAAGGAGAAACGTGCTTCACAAGCACTCCACAGCTGCATCTTCTGGTCAAACTGGGAGTAGCAGCTTAGTGAGTTCATCTAAATGTGTGTCATGGACTTCAACCTGTACTTAGAAACCCCACTTCTTTCTTTCCCTAGCTATGGGAATCAGTAAAGTCAAGAAACAAAAATTTTTAGCTTGAAGTAGCATCCAAGGACATGAGCAAGGACAAGAACCTAACAGTGAATGATACAGGTGGAAATAGAAAATCTGGCAGTTACAATCCAGGTCTATCACAGGACTTCTGTAACACTGCCCTCACAGGTCTAGTCTTCCCCACGTAGTTTAAGTTATTAAAACAGTTCACATCATTATGAAACACACACACAACCCTGTTAAGGTCACTTAAAGCATTACTGATTGTGCTTTATAGCTTGTGTCCCTATTTAAGGAAGAAAGAATACTGGAAATGGGTGGTTATCATTAAAAAGTATGTTTTTTACACACTCATACCTGTCACCTGTTGCTATTAGAACATCTCTTCGAGCACTGACAATTTTTCAGTAGCTCAAATAAAGATGTCTGAGATGCACATTATCAAACCCCTGGGAACTGATTTACAAAACAGTCTTATTAATTTAGGCACTGCTAATGCTGCATCTGCATCATTCCTCTTCCAGGTTGAAGATAAGGGGGATAGTACAGCAAAGACACAGTAGACCTTTAATAAACCACTGAGCCCAATGCTGCCCTCAGAACTCAGTTCTTCTTCCTCTACTTTTTTCATGCCAGTCTTTCAAGGAAGCATTAGACACAAGTCAAAACACATTTTACACTTGATTTACACCTTATTTGTCCAACTGCCTTAATAGGGGTCAATCATACAACAGGCATAATTTTTTGGCATGTATTTCAAGCCAATATATCATCAAGTAGGGTCCTGAATATACTTTAGCTTATCTTCAATACTGTGAATAGCAGAAAATGTTGGTTAAAATATAAAACAAACCACAGCCTTTTAAGATGCAAAGATGAGAACTGGGAGTTGACAAAATAAAGCCTGAGAGGTTTTTAATGTTTCCTTATGCACGGAAAGGGAAATTTCTCCATGTTAAGAGTAACAGTTTGACAAATTTGCAGAAAATTTCAGCTAAACACATAATTGAGCAATCCAGTCCAGAAGAGTAAAACCAGCAGCACTATGCAACTGTAATCGTGAAAACTGTTGGAACAGCATATCTCCGTCCAAGACACTGGTTCTCTGGTGCAGTAATTAAAAAATAAAATTTAAAAAAAAAAAAAAAAGAAAAAAGAAAAAAAGAAGATTTTACATAGATGTAAAGCGGTGATGAATCAAGCTTTTCGACTGCACTCAGCAAGAGTTCTGAATTTTCCAGCGTGGACTCCCTTTACTAGAAGTTAACCTTAAATACCATGAATTAAGATGTTCTTCCCTCTTTAAGTAAGTATGCTTTGCAGATTGAAGATATCAATTCACAACTGTAGATACTAAAGTCTTAACTACCACCTCTATATGCTGTACATGTCATCTCCACAGCATCTATAGACTGTGTGTTCTAGAAAGGTTCCTCTAAATATGCACTATTTTTATCTGCAACTTATCTGTAACTGAACTCAATGGGATAAGCAATAAATCCCTGCTGACACCATTTTTTAATTACCCATCAGAAGTGGGTACAGAATTATCCATCAGAGTGGAACTACACAAAGGTCTGCCATGATGTCACCAGATGATCTCACTGTTCACACAAATTCAGAAAGACAGCTTTTGAACTGAAGGGCACTTTCTGTTCTCCTATGCCTACACCCTCCTAGCCCTTCATGCCAGGCTGCTCATGCTCTTCCCTCCTTTGTAGGGGAAACAGTAAAATTCACTGAACTGATTCCTTTCTGGTGTAATGACAAAATGATAACAAGTACCCTATGATGTGCCAGGCCCTCCTGCACTACACCAACAACTGGAGTTAAGGTGGAATTATGGTGGAGTTAAGGGGAATCTCATTGCTACCCAAGGAAGTGTGCAGTGCTTTAACATTTGCCATGCTTTAACATTTATTATAAATAATTTCATATTGAGTTTAACAACACATCAGCACTGAAGTCAACAAAAAGCACAAACATGTTAGTGGCAAGAAGCATGCTTCAAATCACATCACATATCTAGAAGTGTATCCTGACAGAGAGGAGGGATGCAATACACGTTTCTTCTTTTAACTACATCATATATGAAAACAGTCTGGAAAAGCAAGATACTGAACAAGTCTCACTCAAAGAGTTAAAGAGGAAAACTGCATTTTATTTTACAAGAACCTCATCATGCAACTGCATAGCTTACAAGTTCCATAAAGCTGTGTGAGAATTTAATCCTGGACTTCACCATGGAGCTCACTTGTGCAGACAGCCCTTTAGAAAGAGTAGAACACTTGTGACACTTGTAAAACATCTCCCCAGGTGAGACTGCATGCTCCCTGGCTGGGGGAAGGGGAGGGGTCAGAATACAGCCTCTTATTTATTTGCTCTAAGTCACAGGTCAAAAACTCATCACAGGATTCCTCATCCTTACCATTCTTATGCCCACTTTCTAAAACATTAAAAAAAAGTAACACATAATATACTCTATTGCGAGAGTTTAACCAAAAGATGAGACAAGTGTGAGGAAAAAAAATCTGCATTTAACATTGTTGAAAGAACCCTTGATAAAAGTCAAATGTTAGGCTAAACTCATTGCTCCCGTTTTCTCCCATTTTGCCAGTTTTCTCCGGTGAGAATGGGGGCATAAGTTTCAAAAAAACCTTACCCACAATCATACTACAGGCTTTTCTTTGATGACAGACAACATGTGGAATACTTCTAATCCATGCAATCTAAGCTTCAATATTTGGGTTACTTCAAAACCAGGAGACAATTTGTAAAATTTTTAATGTTTTTTTATGAAGCACCAGATATCCCAACATCATACAGGTAACAAGAAAAACTACAAGTATATTTCTTTAAAAGTATTTTACACATGTATCTTAAATCTAATGTTTTGGGATTATGGCTTTTTTTTGTTCAAAATCTAGAATTTATTTCAGTGAATTGACAGAGACCGAAGTACATCAATTTGCACCAAAAGGGAAATCCATCAGAAGTAAAATATTTATAAGATTTTAAGTTTATTGAGAAAAATAATATTCCTCTGCTTTATAGCATGAAACTAAGATTTCATGTGAACAAACATCATAATATCAGAAAAGGCAGTTAATTAATAGGAACTACAGTGACTTACATTACTCTACATGTGGATGGATGGTCTGGTAACAGGTTTGGAGTAAGGAAGAGAAAGCAGCTTCCCTGAACACTTGGTAGTGAGAGAAGCTCCTTAAACATTCTCCATGTCAAGTCACAAATGATCTTATAAATATAATGACACAAGATGACTGTCACTTATTTCAGGCACCCATGCTGACACTGGCATCAAGGATAATTTCTTTCTTTAACAAGAAGAAACTCCAGCACAGATGCAGC